ATGAATTATTGTTGTTTGAGGCGTTTCTCGCATTGTTCGACCGCCGAGTTTCCAGCACCGCTCGCGAACAAAAGACTTTTTCGCAATTCAAAACGCACGCTCTCGTTTCATTTACTCTTTTGCGCTCTTTCGACTGGTGCATTTTCAGCTTCGCGCGGTATTAAATAATACAGACTTGTTCCACTTTCAGTTTTTGTGATTTACTTTTCGAAAGTTCGACCAGAAAACAATTTACATTTCGCTGTAATCGCTCTGATTATTTCAACAAGAACAACGCTATGAAATAATTTATTTGACGTAAGTTCAATAAAATTGAACACAATGGCAACAATTTTACCGTTGACAGCTTCGTAGGGGACCATAAACAAGCGGGCGGTCGGACACAAACCATTGAGTAAACGAGTCTCGCAGGAACGCTGTTTAGAGCCGATAATAACGTGTAATGAATGTAAACGTTACCCCTTCGTCGCGACGCGGAACGGAAAACTGTTATCGCCGGCTCGCACGCGCGCGGGCGGGCTGCGGGGCGTGGGGCGGCCGCCATGGGGAAATTATGATGCTGTAACGAGGCTACACACGCGAAAATGATGTATTGCCGCATCATTTTGTATAAGCACGTAGGAAAATTAAAACATTATTACTTTTTTGCCTTAACATTCTTGTTTTAGATCTTTAGAAAAATTAAATATTGTCAGTGTTCAAAAGGACTTTCGCATTCTATCTATTGCCGCTAAATTTAATTTACTATCCCCACTGCCAACCCCCCACCTACGTTTGTATATAGAATATAGGTACATATATGGCATTGGAGGACGTGTTGATAGCTTTATGACTGGCGTGGCGGGACATAATCGAGCCGAGCGAACATACCGTGGCCAGATAACGCGATTGTGTGTAATAAACGGAACGCAATTGCAATCCTATTAGACATATGGCTGAGCCGATATTGATACATGACGCTACGAGGCTTCGCATTAGATTGTGCCGGCACATGCCTGACTCCCAAATTGATTAACGTCTGTACGGCTACGTCTTATGATCAGATTATATTGCTAAACTATATTGTCAATTTAATATTCTAACTTATTGCTAATTTCTTTTAAGACACAGTATTGGTTTTTATGTTTATTAAAAAACTAAAATTACCGATAAAATTGAATCAAAGATATTTTTGCTTTTATTTTTAAAGAGTTATAACAATAATATTTTTTGTATGATAGGTGTGATATCGGCGGGCGTGAGCGTGCCCGTGCAGATCCCGTCTCAAGGGCCGGACCTCGCGTCGAACTACTGGGGCCGGCTTCAGTGATCTCAGCTATTCGGGTTCCCGCATCGACTGCTCTCGATGGCTGAGAACCCGAACATACCGGAGTCTCCATCTAGCGGAGAGATAGCGCACAACTACGCCGACTCCCATTTGTCTATGACCGCCGCGCTCAACATGACAGCCGGACACGACGCCGGCGCCGCCCTGGCGGGAGACTTGCAGCACGAGCAGAACTCCGTGTCGTAAGTGTTTAGTGTTTCAGACTCTATCGTTATTACACGCAATATAAACCCAGTGATTTCTTTTCTCGCAACGTTTAAATGGTGCAAATTATAATTTGTGTAATAGGTTTCAAATCTATAATAATACCAGTTAATTGTAAGAAGCAACTGATGATGTTCAAACCTAGCAGTAAGTCATAAAATCAAGTACAAGGAAACATGTTGCGTACAGCCATATTAAATAATACGTTTCTGATAATTATTTGCTTACAATAATGTAAATAAAACGATTAGCTTCGTATTTCCTTGTGTATGGTTGATAGATTTTAAAGCAATTGTAAATATAGTTAAGCGCCATCTATTGTTGAGTAGGAAAAGTTTCCATGGCAATTGTCCGACGTGTTTGGAGTGAAAATGAATGTAAATCGTTTGTGCCAACGTTTGTAATAATTGAGTGTTACACCCTTAGCAAGCACAACCCTTTTATTTCTTTGATCTATGCAATGGGGGTGAGAAATATTAATGCTGCAGGGAAACGTGGCGAAGCTTCGTTATGGCGATTTGTCGGCGACGCCGCGTCCCTACTGTCAATCATGTTTATATTTCTTGTATAATGTACTAATTGATGTATTTGCAATTTTATTATGGCACATTACTTTCGATACTATTTATGTTATTTATTATAAATACTAAAGAGATCAATATTGCTGTGATTAAGTAGTTTTATTTTTACTGAAGATATTCAAAGGAATTTGTAAATATATCTTTTAAGTGTTTGGATATAGAGAATTGTATTAATTTCGTGGATTGTAAATTGTAAATTTGTCAAATAAATTAATTTGATACACACTGATCTCTAAATGGATAGGTCTTTAAGAAATTAGTTCCGAAAACGCCTGTTACTAGCAGTTCAATTGTTAGTTCCAATTATGACCACCGTCATCACCGCTACCATCAGCGCCAAAAAGGAAACAGACAGGCATAAATACTATAGCCTGTCCATGTATAGAGATCAGTGTATCTACGTTTATAATGCTGGTTTCACAGCATAAATGTACAACTGCAATGGTATGCAATACGACGGCGTAGAAATGTATGTAATAAGTGTAAAATAAATTATTAATCGATTGTAAGATGCATATAGAATGAGGAGATTACAGTGAAAATTATTAATAAATATTGCATTAACCATACTATTTTTTTTATCTTCCTAAAAGTCACAAAAAATCTTCCAGAGTTTATCATACTAATATTATAAAGACAAAAATTTGTATGGATGGGTACTACGTATTTCAAGTAAAATTTGACACATGTAGAAAATACTACTTAGTATGTTTTCTTTAAATTTGACGGACGAAGTCGCGAGCAAAAGCTAATAGAAGTATAAGTATGAGGGGAATATCTTCTAAAATCCATAACACTAATTCATAACTCAATTTGACATAAATGAACACTCGACTGTATTTAAATACAATACAACAATGAAGGGACAATATCTCGCCAACAGATGGCGTGACGCAATATGCAACTTTATTGTACAAATCTTGGACCCTAAATTTATTTGCCAGTGAAGTTAACTATATTTTGGGCGGTATATATTAATTTTGCGTGTTATACGAACGCTGTGTGGCAAATGCACCCCTAGTTTTAAGGGAGGGTGGAACACAATGGGATGGGATTAAATGTGTTGTAGGCATTATACTGATCTAAACTTTGTCGGGGACATTGACATATACAGAGTGATTCATTTACTACAAATACCTACATTATAGAGATGAAATCAATTAAAATTTAATGAAATTAGGAACAAAAAATCCAAATTATAGTATTACTCTACAAAAAACATACGATATGGTAAACAGATTCATAAATTATGAATAACATTAGAAAAATTAAAGTATAGTAGAAACTAAAAATCTAAAACAAATCACAAAGGAGAATTTTAATTAAAATTCAACATTTTTTTAATGATTCGTAATTAAAATCACCCTGTATAATACAATAAAGGAATTCTATCTTAAACAGACAAATATTGAATAGAAAACTTCCCTTACCAATTGTACTGATTATCGACGCTTATAATTGGTTTAGATTAAGTCCCCTTCGTGTGATTTCAATTTGTTAATCTTCAATACAACCGCTTCTATACAATGGTCAGTAACAGATGTACTGAAAACACTGGAATTGAATATTATTTATATAAATAAAAATAGGTTCTCACTGACGAAAAATCTTGTTCTACTGTCTATGATACTATCATTGAATTATAAAATAACATGTTTTAATTCAAAACTCAACATTATCAACAAAGTAAAATTTTACTATGTAATACTTTTCGCATGAATCGCAAAGGATGTAATTTATTCCTCAATTTATTGAGAAAATACATTATTAAAATTTTACATAGACGCAAAATTATGCAAATACATATTTTCTGTCATTTAAAATTATATTGAAACAGCATTTAATTAAAAATGACATTTATTAATTGCATTACATATATTAAAATTGATTATAATGACTTTTTCCTAAGTACAAGATAGGCTCAGACTAGGTTTTTTTTACAAAAAGGCAAAACATTTCTAAAACTATTGCGGCTTTATATAAATAAAACATTACATAACATTGGAGAATCCATATCTTTAAAAACTATCTGTCTATCTATCTCACTCTATATAAAAAAGAGACAACAATATATTTTTAAACAATAAATGGAAATTAACTTATATAAAAATTGCTTACATAAAAAGAGAAACGTAACGTAACATCTATTATTACTTCAAAAAACTATTAAAAAGGTAAACTTAATTATTTTTATGGTTGAGTTGGAATTAACATGTAATTGAAAGTGTAAAATTGCGAAATATATTTTTTTAAGAATAATTAAAGCCAATATTAGATGCATCACAATATATTTTTTTAACCTTTTTCAAGTTTTAATTAATAATAATGCTATCACAAGTGTGTCATTAAAATATTCAATTGGAGAATTTTGTCATTTTAATTATTTCTTACGATAACAATGGAGTATTTTCGGTCTGCTCACGCGCTGACATGGCTGGTCTTCGAGAAATATTGCGGTATCTGAAATAGAAAACATACATTAAATTAGATTAAAATCATTAAAATTTTCAACCAAATTTTAATGTTGAATGATGATTCATTTTTTAATGCATGATTTACATATATTACATAGTGAAAAGTAATTCCCAATAACACGTCCTTTTTAACAATAGAAATGTAGTTTTATCTTGGATCAAATTAGTATATTTTTAAGGTCAACGCACATTATTCCAACTCTAAATGGTGTACGCGTAGACTGCAAGAGAACACATTAGCATTAATAACAGAGCGAACTAGAAAGAGATATGTATTATCTTCTAGATATCTTCTATCCTTACCTTCTGTCAATGCCGTACATGTGCGGCAGGCTCGGTCTGACGCTGCGCGGCGGCGGGGGGAAGGGCGGCTTGTTTCTGTTCTGGTAGTGTTGGAAGAGGAAGCCGCTGGTCGCCAGAGACAACCAGAGGAGTGTAATCAGGGCATCTGCCAATAGGGAGATAGTGGTAAGATGTTTGAATAAAGTGGAATCGATTTAAATAAGAATTTTAGGTTCATTCATTTCAAAAACCATTCGGCACATATGCTGGTCTTCCGTTGTAACCATATATGTGTAGATCTAATCCATCTTCCAATTTTCATAAAAGTAAAATTTTCGATAGATGGATGATGTTCGTTACTTTGTAGTCTAAACGGTAAGCCGGTAAGTCTTAATCTTGATGAAATTTGACATAGATGTAGAGGACAGTCTGGAAGACTGATAGACTTTTGATTCCGGTAATAGTTACGGTTCCCATGGGATAGATTAGAAAGTTAAGATGGATGTTTGTTAGAAGGTATTTTCAGAATAGTTTCTATGTAGTAATAATTTGTACAAAGAACACATAGGCTACATTTTTTAATGCAATCGCGGGTAAAAGCTAGTTCGTATTACAAATAGTACCTGGCCATTGAAACGGCGGCGCAAGTACCGCATTATAGAAGTTGGGCACGACAGCTCTGCGCACTGTGTTAATCATTATGTACTTCAAATTGGACCCTACGTAGTAGTCGATAGGGTATAAAGTCGCGTACGCGCCGAGGATTGCACAGCACAAGATGTTTGATAGAAACGTCGTAGAGAGCAGGATTAGGGATGTTATCGACATTATTAAAATAAATAAAGTCCAAAAGTTAAATTCAACCTCGAGTACTTTAAAACCACCTGAAATCATTTAATGTGTTAATAACGCATATATAACAAACATATTTAGATTTAATTATTGTAACTTTTCATTTCAAAATAACCAGACATAACGTCTGAAGGTAGAAACAGAAACTAAATTTAAGAAAAAAAACTCGATATTAAAATCATTTTAATTCCTACCCCTAATTTCATTGGAGCAACGGTTTTTAAAAGAGATCTATGATTAACTGTAATCGTTAATTAAACATTTACCTGGAAGTCCAAAATAAATGAACGCAGCGAACAGAAATCCTAAATTCAATGTAGATAATAAAACAGCAAAAACAGGAATTCCATAGAACCACCAAAACAACAGCCAAATGAAGCCAAAACAAACACCTGATAATATAGCTGCACCTAAGAGAGCTGAAAAAATAACAATTAGGCGCTAGTTATACACCATTTTCACTGAACGATTAGCCGCGTGCGACTGGAACTTCAGCAGTCGCGTCCTCGCAATTAACCTTCCGAGTTTTTTAGCAAAAATATATTACATGTTTGTTTATGAATCAAAAAGTACAGTCACTTCTTAGCAGTGACCTATAAAAGCGAAAACCGCTTGAACATCTTTGTCGCTAATTATCTATAAATATAATGAAATTGGAGTTTGTTTGTAATATCAAAAGAAAAATTCCAGATTTCGGATGTAGATGTATTTGCGATTGCGATGATAACGAAAACCGCATTTTTTTTTTTCTGTTTGTCTGTCCGCAAGCCACGTTTGTTCCGGATAATCTCCGAAATGGCTGGGCCAATTTCGACCGGACTTTCACTGAAAGGTAGCTGACATAGACATGCATATTATAGGCTACTTTTATCTTAATATTGCGGACAACAGATCGTTGTAACGATAATATTAAACATTAGTTAATCATTCTATATCTTACCCGGTCGTTCCAATTCCGCAATCAGCGATATAAGTATGTAAGTGATAATCACACCGCTGACTAAACCAATCAGAAACATTTCAGTCTTAAAGAACCGATGTCCGAAATAGCATACAAATATACCGAAGAACAGCAGAGAGGCACATAGTAGCTGAGAGAAGACATCATCTAAAAACATTTATACAGTAAACTAATTTAAAATGCTGATAATAATAAAAGTAAAAACTTGATAGAAGGTAATAAATCACATGACTAAATAACAAGTATGGATGAGCGTTGAATTTCATTATTTTTTAAAAGAAAATATTGTAATTTGGCAGCATTTAGAGAATAGTAACAATTTTAAACACATCAAAACTCTTGTAGAAACTAAAAAAATCGTATTATCAAAGTACACCTTACCAAGCAGTTCGCAATCGTCGTCGAGTGGTGAACAAGCGTAGCTGTATGTAGGCACGTACACGGAATATGCACTACTGTTTAGCGCACTGTACGCGACGGCAACGTATATGGCGCCGGTGCCGGGATACGCGCTCAGCATACGACGCATACTCCATTTTGTGTGAGGTACCTGGTAGAAATTGTTATCAGGACACCCATGTAGATTTTTGAATTTATATCGTTTAATAATAGTTTAAGATTTATGTTATCGGCTGTATTTCCGATTGATAAAAATTCTCGAAGATCCAAAAAGTACCCTTACAATTTTGGAGTCGCATGTCCTTTCAAACTAATAGCCTCTACTGCTAGATGGAACAGTCAAGCCCGGCTAAAATCGCGCGGTTGGTTGCAAGTAGGCTAAATCCGTCGTTTTATTTAAGAATTTGTACTCAATTTCTGATGTTAAATTCCATCAATAATATAGCCTAGTTGATCTATTTATATTTTATTTTATTATTTTCTATCATATTTTTAATTTAAAACATATACATAGATTAATAATAATAACATATAATTATAACAAGACTAGAAAAAAATAATCGCCAACCACATTTTTGATCATAAATCAGTAATATTCTAGATAAAAATTTAATGAACACTGTAATCGCAATACTGCATAAACAAATCGCTGGTCATTTATTACAATGAAAGGCGAGTGGGAGGCAGTAACTCCGGATTACATCCTCCTTTAATGCGCAGGAGTCGAGTGGCCAGTAGCGGAAGTCAGTAACCATTCTAAACTTGGCCTGTTTTAAATTGAAACGGCCTAAGACATGGCAATGATAGGCTAATGAACCGTCTCGTCTTATTGGGACTTTAAGCGTAGGTTTCCACTGGCATAGAGTCATATTGTCTCTCTTCTATATGCAATATTGACGCTACGAAAATCTGTAATTCACTAGTTTCGTAGATTTCGCAAATCTACGAAATATTATTATGACATTTCTAAATTGATATATTTCTGTAGGTTATCAACAGTCACGTTCAAATCATCATCATCATCATCATCATCATCATCATCATCATCATCATCATAATTGACTGAACATCACTAAGGGACTCAGAGCCTACACTAAGTTAGGGTGACTACGCTTTATTCAACCACGCTAGCCAAGTGCGGGTCGGTTGACTTCACATATATTTTTGAATTTCTTCGCCGATATGTGCTGGTTATATCACGATGTTTTCATCACCGTAAGAACGGCTGGTAAATTGAATGAAATTCTAAAAATCGAAAATGACATTGATACTCGTACATGGCGGGATTCGAACCCAGGATCTATGGATTATAGTGTTTAAACCAACCAAAGATAAACATACATAAATACAAGAGAAAAGTATACTCCAAGTTAAAATAAATCACTTTTGGGTCAAAGAGATATCTATACTATTATAATAAAGCGTAAACACACACTTCTTTGTTGCCTAAGATGTCAGCAATTATAGAATATTTATGAATATGAATAATTCTTTTTGTAATGAAAAGACCTACACTTACGTCATGCTTTAGGCTATATAATTTCTCACCAGTAAACAGGGGGTTAATATTTTGGATAAAAACTCTAATGTGGGAAAGAGACCATAAGTTGCTGCCAACATCAAAAAAGCAAAATTGCCATAGTAAGGTAATTGGTATTTTGACAATTGCAATTGATTATTTTACACATGTAAACAATAAAATATCATTTTCATAAGTTTATGCGGATGGAATCGCAGGGGAACAGCTAGTACAATATAAAAGGTCCAGCGTAAAAACAGGTTTTGAGGTTTTTATTAAAATTTATCTCTCATTTTAAGTGTAACTATCAGTCACCAACTGGTTTTGTTGAGTTTAAAATATTTTTTATAATGTAGTAATGTTTAAGACAGCAACTTGCTCAATTTAACCTTGAATTATAAACACCTAAATCCAAAGAAATAAAAGTTAATGATAACTAGTGAATACAATATTCATTTTATTTACATCTCTAAGGAATTGTAAATAAAATTATGAGGTATGCTAGCTTTCATCCGAGACTCCGTCGGCATGGAATAAAAAAATGAATAGCCTATGTGTTCTACAAGACTATCCTCTACATCTATACCAAATTTCATCGAAATCCGTTCAGCCGTTTAGGCTACAAACATCCATCCATCTAAACTTTCGCATTTATAATATTAGTAAGAAGTATGAAGTATGACTATTTAATAGAAAGTCTACAGTTATAATGAATTTTGCATGTGACTGTCCGAGCAGAATTAAAAAAAAATAGTAATATAAGCCTATGTAACTCGGCAATAATGTAGCTTTCTAATAATTAAACAATTTTTCAGATTGGTCCAGTAGTTTTTGAGTTTATTAATTACATACAAAAATACAAATCTTACCACTTTATAATATTGAGGATAGAAAGTTTTGAAGTTTAGATTTCAAACACTCTCTCAACATTAGAATGTTCCATAGAGTTATGCTATATTTATTATTGTTAAAAAATATAAGTTCACTAGTACAAATGTCAAATTACTAGTTTAAATTTAATCAAATTAATAAATAACTTGGTACTTACAATTTCAGCATTATCTGTAATATTTTCCAACGTTAACATACTCTTTATTCCTTCAAAGTAAACATCTGATTTGAAATTCCTCTCTTCTATGTACATCAAATAAAATACCACATTGACATCATTTATAGCAGTACAAGTTATATCGGAGGAATCTCTTGCTGACGCTGCTTCAACAAGGACATAGTCATTGGTGTATGATGTATGCATGGAAGGTGATGTTAACGGTTGGAATTCCATATTACAACCACCAGGTATCGGATCTAAATATAATTTAATATTGAGTTTCATTTTAAAAGTTAAACCTTCAAATAATCTTTGCCTATGAAATGTAGAAATGTTTATAAATCTCTATCAGCGGTCATATCTGAATCCACTCTTTTCTTAAGCATATCCTCTTTCATACAATCCAGCCATACTTTCAGTGGTTCACTATATCGGTGAGTTCATTTGATTGGTTGTGTATTTGATACACAATATAAAAAGTTAATACCAAGGTAAGGTGTATGGTATTATTTTTAATTTAATTTAAGCACACCACCTTGATATTCAGTATCTGTTATTTTATAAATTAAGTGTCAATAAATAGACAATTAACTTGAAGCATTTTATGTATTAAATCTATTTTCATAGTTCATCTTATCCTCATTCCTGGTGTAGATTTCATCTCACCTAATCTATGTATGGTTCTACACAAACTTGTTTCTAGTAAAGTTATCTAAAATAGTCTATAATACATACCTGTGAGTCCATAGCCATGTACTACAATATATAGCTTAATATCAACTGAATTCTGATTGGAGACATAAAATTTGTCCAACGGTGGCTTCACAGTACTATACAATCCAACATTTGTACCATAAACTGATGAAGTTTTTGTTAATGTATTATTATATACAGTAACATTATAATAGTGACTATGCACTTGGAATATTATAAATGATATTGATTTTGTAACATTTACAAAACTAACTTGTAGAGTTGATGATGCATTTAGATTAACAAATTCTCCGAATAGTTCTTTATTTGTTAAACTGGTTGTTTTATTCAAAGGTATGGTTAATGTTACATCTGAAAAAAATATTTAAACCTCTTTTGTAGTTTCACAAAAATTATTAAGGAAATAATTACTTTTGTACACTGCAACTTTATTCAAGAGGTAACAAACTGGTGTTTGTTCAGTGGAAAAACCCAGTTAATTAAAAATATATTAAAAAAGTAGGTACTCACTTTGTGTTTTAACCCCCACAACACACACAAACAAGAATATAACGAATTTTAAATAATTATTAGAACCAGACCCCATTTTGAAGTACAATCTTAAGATTAAAAATAATCATATCACTTATAGCACTATGTAAAAAGCAAGTTTTGTATAATTATGGCCATTAACTGTCACATATATCAGCTGTTTGTTTTGACAGATTCAAAATCCATGAAAATCGGCACAACCTACGGAACGTTAAAGCACTCTAACCAATATGAACTTAGAGAGATAAGTTTATAGGTGGAAAGAATTTTGCCTTCATAATCACTTTAATGAACTTATTGGAAGCTGATAAGAATAATTAAACAAAGTACAGAACAGATAAATTGTAAAGTTAAGTTCAAAACAGTTCACTCAGAAGTAGAAGGAACGAGAACGAGTGAACAAGAACCAGAATGAATGGTCGGAACAAACTGGGTGAATTAGAGTGAGATGGGAAATAGTACAAAACACTAAGAATGAGCGGGATAGATGATTGTGTACTTGTTGGTTGTCAGCAGTTTTCATCGTAAAAATAAATATGTCATTTCGTTTTTGCATGTTTTCATTGCTTAAAATTGAATAAACATTACTCAGTAAATCAGTAACAGCCTAAAATAAGTTGTTTTACAAATCGATACAGTGAAATGAGCAAATAAGTTGGTAAACGTAATAACTTGTGACGTGACCGACTTTGTAAGTATCTCGATATCGATTCCCTTGTTGGCCGCTAGAGCGCACTCACGTCTAATTCTAAATATGGCGGCACGATCAATGAAGTAGTAGTGTGTAGTGAAGTCTAGTGTAAAAAATTGAAATGTTCGAGGTCTGTGTTAGTTTTGTGTATGGTATGAACCAATAAATGGGCCATGGGAAGAGGCCAGGAATTATTAGATGCCGCGCGCGAAGGCGATAGATGGACTGTAGAGAAAATTCTCGGTCAAATAACTAAAAGGAGTGGTCCGTTTACAAGGTAAGTGCTATTCATGTTTTGCAAATTAAGATTAAAATAAAGGATTTATTTAGGTTTAATGGTTTCTACCTTTGCTCATTATAACACAATGAATGAATTATACGGACCTTTGACTAGTATTTGGATACATGAGCGTCCTAAACTGCATTTATTTATAATGTTTACTGTAATATCGTATAACTGAAGATAGAAAGATAAGAATCGTTATTAACTTCCTTAGTTTTTCTAACTTTAAAATCCATATTAAATCCTTAAGGCCTTAAAATTATAAATACAAGGAGACTAATTTAGTTCTGAGTTTCTATGTAGATTGCAAACTATATTTGCAAATAAATGAACGATTATAAAAAAAAAGAATAAAATCGTTCCATTCTAGTAAAGTAACGTTTAGCTGTTAAATTTTATATGTAGGTAATCATTTGAAGTATGTTTACTGTTTTCCTTATGGAACAAAATTATATTGCTGAATATGGTACTTTTTTAATTCCCATGAAATCGTGTTAAATAAGGTCGATATAAGAACAATGAAAAGAATGTTTTTTTTTACATTCAATATGTTGTTTCTGATGATGAATGCCTTTATCAATGCAAAAGTAAGAACAATGATTTATGAGTTTTTTAATACGTCACATTCACATTATTCACATTGCTCTGTGCCTTAAGGTTCATTTTCACTACGCCTTTTTTTAGGATGTTTTAAATGGTTTAATTTCCAGCTTTCGTTTGACCTCCATTTTATAATGAACCTAATGTACATTTAAATAAGGTTTATTTTCATAATTGACCTGTAAAATATTTTATGATACAAAACCACTATTTTGAATTGAATAACGATTTAATTCTAATTAATATCATTTAATTATATTAATTTAAAATATCCAATACATAGAAAAAAAAACTTTAAGATATATGGATAAATAGGTTTTTTGCGTACAAACTAAGTTTTTAACTTTAGAATAAACACCTTTATTATTGGGCTAATTACAAAGTAAATTTAACATTTTTAAAGTTACTAAAGTGATAAAATTATTACCAAAGTCGTGAAGTCATGAAAATGAGAAACGGTCATAACTTATCTATTTAAGGAAGTTGGGATAACTCAACCATAAAAGTGAAGTGCTTGGACTCTTGCCAGACGGCAATCGATGTTAAGGTGCGTTGAACTTTTCTCTGTCTGTTCACACCTTTATCCTAGTCACCCATATAGCGGGATGGTGCAGACTGCACTCGACACACGTCGTTTGCGTAAATTAATATGGGTGAAACGTCTTGCAGGCATTCTGCGAATTCATTAATTGGTCTATGACACCGCAATTGGAATAGACAATTGAGCGGTGAGCACGTATTTCATACTATTACGAGGTATCTTTAGCTGTAACAAATTATTTGCTCTTAAAATGTTTCGATAAAGAATGTGTACTGAGTTTTTAATGTTCATTTAAAGCCCCTTAGTGAAGATAAACCGTTAAGCAACTCATCATCTTTCTCTTTATCCTACTCCCGTAGGGTCGGTGCAACAGATTTTTGTTCTTTACATCTCTATCATACGTCATCTGTCATCACTCCCTCTTTGATCATGTTACCTTTCGCGCAATCCATCCATTTCTTCCTAGGTCTACCTTTACCTGTGCAGGGACGTATCCAGGACAGTCAGGTCCAGACCCCCATGCCCCCCTTGCATGGTCATGACCCCCCCTGCTGGTTGGTCAAGAGCTAGACAAAATATATTTTTTTCAAGCTCTTGACTTGACCACGACTTTGTGACCCTCCCTGGCGCTAAAGCTGGATCCGCCCTTGTACCTGTGTACACGTATAGCTAACGTTCTCCTTGTAATATGCGATTCATCTCTCCTCATAACATGAAATTCCATGAACCGTTTAACGTACGTGTAATACTAAAGATCTGCTCCTCGACACGAAAAAGGTGTAATTCATCAAATTTTACGTCGAAGTTAAACGATTTTGTTTTATTTGCAACGCAATTTACTGAGCCTCGATCTTGTCTACCTGCAACTTAAAGTGATAAGATTTTCTCGTCACGTGTAATTTACTTTATTAGCTTTTGACCTCTATGAAGGTCACATCAGGCTGCCTTATTAGTCGTGTTTTATCCACTCGCTTCCTAACTCGACTCGTAGCTCGTAGTTTACAATTAGTGGTCGGTAATTCCAATTTGCACAAAATGCTAATTTTGTTGTGTTTACTCATTGATGTTTTAACTATGGTCATTATGTCTACACTTTTTTATAAAGGGGAAGAATTTATGTTTTTGTACATTCTTGTGAGTAAATTCAACCACTTGACCGTTTTAATTTAGTCGTAATCAATTCAAAAGTTGTATTACTACTGAGTAATAAAGGATAGCTTTGTTATACTTGTTGTTTTGTCCGTGACTTCGTCTGCGCGAAATTAAAAAAAACTTGGAGCAGAATATATCCATCGTTTTATTGAGCCGTTCTTAAGATGTCTTTAAACATCTATCTATCAAGACTTTAGTAATTATATTATTAGTAAGTAATATATATAACTGATATTGTATTCATTTATATTATAATATAACTGATATTGTATTCATTTTTATAAATAAATGTATAGCGTGGACGGAACCCTAATTGTATATTAACGGTTAATTAACTTTTTAATTCGTAGAAACCTAAAATTACACAACTTACGTCATAAAATAATAAAATTATGAAAAACATAATGAGTAACCGTAAATGACAAGTATTTTATATTGTTTACCTTACAGGGTATTTCGTTCTAAAAATAGGATTTTACGGATTTTTATGAAAGTACCACTACTAAATGGGTGTTGATTTTACGTATAACTATACAGTATAACAAAGTCTCTGACTCTGTTTGTCTCTGTATGCTTAGATTTTTAAAACTACAACCGTTTTTGATGCATTTTTTAGATGCATAGAGTGGTTCAAGAGGGAGGTTTTTGTGTACATTTATAAGATAGTGGGGCGATATTGATAATTTTAAATGTGATGTCGCAAATAACCACATTTTCGTATCAGCTTGGACCCGTGCGAATCCGGAAGGGGACGCTAGTCAATAATAAGTATTTAACGTACACTATATCGAAATCATTACCTCAAAGTACTTAGAACTTTGTAGGCAACAGTTTGTAATATGACACGTGTGGCCTAAATTTCATCGCTTGATTATCAAGAGAATTTTTTTCACGCATCACAGCACAGGCCTTTGCCATATGTTTTGTACGAATGTTGTACGGATTCAATACTCAGTTAATGCTATTAATTTGTTGACATGACACACTGGTTGATTGAGTCTCATAGCTTAGCGAAACATGTTATCTCAATTTTCTCCAATGGAATGAAAGGGATAGGCATTTAACAGTGGTAGAGCTCGTTTTAATATTTTCGCACGAATAGGTCGTCTCGCCCAGTACAATACCACGACCACATAGAAGAAAGGCGTAAATTGTGTGGAAGCCTGCGTTTTGTCCGATGAGTAATGTGCCGGAGACCTAATTTTAGTCCCTTTCCTCCTTTTCCTTTTCTTATAAGGAAAGGATGGGAGGGATAGTGGATTTGATGGTAGGAGTTGCATAGGAAGGGTAATATCCTCTTTATGTGCGTCTCCCCTTCTGCCAATAAGGGTAGGCGACGCATCTGCGATTGCGGATGTCTGTCAGCAGCGGTCGCTTCGCCATCTTGACGGATTCAATTGGTCGCTTGCTCGTTTGCCACCTTATGATATAAAAATGTGTTCTATGTATCTATCAATGGAAACGCACGATTTTGAGCTTATATTAAATATGTTCACATGTCAGTGTAAATAAGTAGCGTAATAGCAGTTTATTTTGCAAGCGTAGGTCAGATAACGGTAAGTGTCTACTGCGGGTGGTCATTAGAACACTTTTTGTTACCTACCTATAACACTTGTAACAATATTATGTTAAGCATCTTCCCTCTATTGTTTGACATTTCGAGTGTTTGTCTATTGTTGTCGAAGACTACTTTTTGCCCGCGTCTTTGTTCGCGCGGAATTAAAATTTTTAGTAACCAATGCGTTGTTGCAAACTGCTCTAGATAAATACGAAATAACAAACATCTAATTGTCTAAACTTACACATTTATTATATTAATATTTTAGTAAGATTTTATTTGGTATGTTATTCTGGACAACTCGAAATGTTACCAAAGACTTTTGTCGCTAAAACTCGTTAAAAATATATGGAATAAATGTTTTGTACAACCGTTTTCCTAGAATTTAAACAGGCACTCCCATAACAGGTCGTCTTCTTATCTGCATATTTAATCAGTACCTAGATAAAAAAAACACGCGGACGCATTAACTTTATGCTCAATTTTGACATGTAACATGTACAGAAATGATTTTGCCTTACAATAATATTATTACAAGTTTCTATAAATATAGCATCACGTTTCGTAGTTCTCCAAAAATATATTTCATGCTGCTTTCAGACGCAATGCTGAAATGAACAAAGTTACGACAAATTTTTCGTTTTTTCGTCAATAGAGTAATATCGAAATGATAATTTGAACTACGAAGTAGTACTGAGCGTCGGTGGCTCAGATATTTAAGCACTTAACTTGTAATTTACAGGTCTTGGGTTCGAATCCCGCCATGTACCAATGTCGAGTCGAAATTTATATATATATACATATTTTACCCGACGTTCTTACGGTGAAGGAAAACATCGTAATGCAACCTGCACATGTCAGCTAAGAAAGTCAAAGATATGTGTGAAGTGAGCTGGTGATGATAATTGTGAACTACGAATATTTGCTAATTCTAAAATCGATAAGAAAGGGCAGTATCACTGTCTATGGTTAAGGGTTAGGTTTACATTAAGGTTTTAACTTAATTAACGTTAAATTTATTTCTGAGACACGCAATAGTAGGTCGAGTTTGAGCGATCGGTGTAAAATTTGCATTGTGTCGTTCTGGGAACTAGTTCAAGCAGGCTCGCATTATGCTACCATTGTGTTCAAACAACTGCCATT